AAAAAAAATAGTTATATTTTTTCTTTATTTTTATTTTTTTTTTCCTTTTGCATTTCTATTCTTTAGATTTTCGCATCTTCTTGTATTTAGTATTTACATACATGCCCTTTAGCTTTCCATCGTATGATGCTGCATTATTGATTGTCTTAACGATTATTCTCTATCTTTGTTGTTATTGGTTTTCATTTTCTCTTTTGTTTCGATGAATTAAGAAGACATTTTCTGTTTTTTCATGTCTCTTTATTGATTTACTATGCTTCCATGCGTGCATTTTCAGCTAAAGGTGGAATCTTGGAGGATAATATCGTCCATTAAGCCCGGTTATGCAGTCGGTGAAATCGGTTTTGTAGTCATAATAAGATATGGTTGAAGATGAGGGACCCCGATTTTGTTAAGAGATTCATGAGGGCTAATGTAGATTCGTTTACGTTCTCTTTAGTTTGTGCTTAGTTGTGTAGCTAGAATTTTTGTGCTTACAGTTTCTCTTGATCTGGGGTGAGCTGCAGATATTGTTGGGTTTGTTGTTCTATTGGTGTTTTTGTCGGTTTTCCCCGTCTTTTTCTTTTCGAGTAATTCGATATTGCTCGTAGGTTAATTCACACCAAAAAGCTGGTGATTGGGTTTCTGATGATTGCGATCCGTGCTTGTGGTCGGGCGTTGAATCTCTCGATAGTAAAGTGGTTATGTTGTAAGTCTCGTTATAAAACAATATTTTCATTGGATTTGTGTTTTTTTTGTGTTGCAAGTCTAGTGATTGATTGTTCTATTTTTATGAATCTTTTTAAATTTATGTCCAGATTTATATGCTTCTAACTTATGTGACTTGTATAGGAATCTAACTGGGCGTGGTTTGGAGGGAGCATTGGCACCGGATCTTGCGAATCTCTCTCATTTACGAGTTCTGTGAGTATTCAGCTTCATCTCTTTGCATGACTGTGGTGTACATTTATTTCTTGAATAATAAAATCTTCGTTTGTTGGTTGTGATGAGAATGCACTGAAGAAATTTTTTCCAGTCTGCTCAGTACTTGTACGACAAGACCATTAGCAAGATGGTGGACTGGACCCCACCTCAAAGTCGTTCAATGAAGAGGAGCTCGAGGTCGTGTGTGAGGTAATCAAATGTTGCATCCACCAAGAACCGAGAAAAATGACCCTCAATGAAAGAAATCATACAGAAATTGAGGGAAGCCATTGATGTCTCGCCCGAGGCAGCAACTCCGAGGCTCTCCCCTCTTTGGTGGGCCGAGCTCGAAATTTTATCAGAGAGGCTGCTTGAAATCTTGATCGACATGTTTATAAACCGAGCACGCGAGTGTGTATGTAATTGTAAGTTCAGTTTACCGTATATCGGTCGTGTGTATTTGCTCGGAAAGAATTTTAACTATTGTTTTCATTTTTATTTTGTTAGAAGTTACTCTTTCGATTCGTTATGATTTGATTCGTCCATTACTTTTGTTCAATATATTCAGGAGCTCCATGCTTAATATGAGTACATCCACCAAGAAACCACCATAGCTTATCCTTCTCATGCACCCAATTTTGCCCTCCTTTAACCTCTGCAAGATGTGTAGGTTCACATTGCTCCATGCTGGTAAGAATGCTACGTACAAGTTTCTTTAATGTTGATTGATGATAAATAGCTTTGAGTTTGGAATAAAATTTGTTGAAGATTCTTGAATTATCAAGACAAATTCAGAAACATAAATTCATTTCTAAACAATTAGTCATCACTGTGAATAGAGGAGACGGTATAATAGAATACTTGAAACATTGCTAATGGATTTATTTAATTAACCAATGCACCTGTGGAACTATAAATATATGCTAATTATCTCTGCTTTTTTTTTTTCCTTGTTCGAGCATAAATGAAGTATCCGAATTTTATGTTCTGAGTGTTTCCTTTTGTATTCGACTGTATCTTGTTTTCGTTTATCTTTTGTAATTCCGAAGAAGGAATTTTTTTTAAAGAAGGTTCGATTTATCGAATTTCTCGGATTATTCTATTTATCGGCGCTTTATTTTATTTTTCTATGTCTTGTTTATTTGTATATTATTTATACTATTATAATTGGTACTTAAATTATACTAGTTGTAACCCGTGAATTTTCACGGAAAACTATATGATTAAGAAATAATAATAATAATAATAAATTTAAACAATAGTAAAAATTATAACGTAACTATTGACAAAAAAAATTTTAAGAAAGAAAATCTAAATATAATTAAACACTCTTTATGTGCAATCTTCGTGGATTTTTTATCGTTAGAATATCCATCACCACAAATCATTATCTTTCATACCACTCCGTGCATTTGCACGGGAAGCTATATGATAAAGGAAATAATAAAAAAAAGAAAACAATTACAAAAATCATAACATGATCATTGAGGAAAAATTAAGCAAAAAAAAAATTAATTCTAAATATTATTGAACACTTCTTTATATACAACGTTCGTG